AAAAAAAACTCTTTACCTTTTTACCCCGTTGTTCGGTCATCTGTCACGTACTGCTCCTACTAGTACTTACTGGTACCAGTATTATCAGTAGTAACAGTACCTCGTGTACTTGACTGTCCTGCATCCTCACCCAGTATACTCTCCAAATCACCCGTCTCCCCACTATGACGGACCATTTCGTAAAACTGTCCCTTTGAACGGTACAGTTCGGCTGGTGAGCCGCATCTAGCCTCCCTGTCAGTTTGCCATCCGGTAATCAAAAGGAGAGGAGAAGTACTATGCCAAGTACAGGAGTACGCACTCTATGACACGACCTGCTCCCATGACCACCACCAGGTCGTAGTCGATGATTGTGCGCAGGCGGTGGGCAATGGTCACCAGCGACCGGCTCGTCGTCTCCGCGGCGGAGCCGTCATCCGAGTTCAGCTCGTCGCGGAGAACCTCCTGTATCACCCTGTCTGTCTCGTAGTCCATGCTGGCCGTGGCCTCGTCGAGGAGCATGAGCTTGCTGTCGCGCACCAGGGCCCGGCACAGGGATAGGACTTGCCGCTGGCCGTGGGAGAAGTTATCGCCCCGGGCGTCGACTTCCGTGCTGAGCTGGATGGCCGTGGACCCGCTGCTGCGGTCGGACTTGTAGCCAGGTTCGTCGTCGTTCTCGTCGTCGCTATGCTGGGGACTGCTGCTGCTGCTGCTGCTGCTGCTGCTGCTGCTCCCGCCGGTAAATGCGGCCACGGATTCGCACCGGTCCAGGGCCCGCTGCAGGGTCTCGGACGACACCGTCTCCGTGGGGTCGAGGTTCGACCGCACCGTCCCGCTGAACAAGACGGCTTCCTGGGGGATCACAGTTATGGCCTCGCGGAGTCGGTGACGCGGGATCTTGGTGATGTCTATACCGTCGTAGAGGATCTGACCGGAAACTATGTGCGTGAATTGCAGGAGGGAGAGGACCAGCGTGCTCTTCCCCGATCCAGTTCGGCCGACAATGGCAATGCGTTCTCCGGCCTTGAACCTGAGGTTGACATCGGTGAGGATATTGGGCCCGTTCGGGTCGTACCGCACCGTGACGTTGCGGAATTCAATCTCTCCCGAGCTCGGCCACTCTCTGGGAATGACGTGGGTCTCTTCGTCGGCATACGTGCTGCCATCTTCCGGCTCCTCCGGGTACGGCTTGTCGTCTTCGTCTTCCCGCGGTAGTTTTATGTACTCGTTGACGCGATGGAACTGCATGCAGTCAAGAGCGTTAGCGGCCAGGAAAGAGACGTGGGTGTATTCCTCTTTTTTTTTTTTATAAAAAAAAAAAAACTTACGCTCTGCATCTCAACCTCTAGATCGTTCATGTTTCTGACGAGGTGGAGTATGATCTGGCTCAGGCCATTGGCGTTCGACAGCGAGAAGCCGACGAGGCCAGCGCTGATCTGCCCAACCTTGGATACGGCAATCACGCCAGCAAAGAGCGACACGAGGGCCGTGACGAAATCGAGCCGGACAGACACCCAGCGGTTGCAGTTGTAGTTCGCCTCCGCAGCCTGCTCCATGGTGCGCATCTTGGCGGCGAGTTGGCGTCCGAAAGCCTTGCCCATGCCGGCCCTGGCACGGATCACTGCGAGCCCGGCAATCGTGTCGCCAAACTGCGAGAAGACGGGGGACTGCGCCGACGAGAGGAAGCGCTTCGTCATGACCGCCGTGCGCGTGTACATCTCGGCCAGTATCAGACCGATCAGGCAGGTGATGACGGCGGGAACCATGAAGATGGGCAGGATGGTGCTCACGGCGGCGATGCGGAAGAGGAGCTGCGTCGCATTCTCGAGGCCGTTGCGCACCATGGCGCTGAGCGAGGTGTCGATGGATGTCATGTCGCCTGCGAATCTGTTGGCGATGCGCCCGATGGGTATCGCCTTGAACCACGACAGCGACACGTACAGGACGGCTCGCACGAAGTCGTTGTGCAGTTTCCTGGCCGCCCGCCACGATCCCCATTCAAACATGATGACGCTGGCAGCGTAGAATGCGAGCTCCATGACTGACAGGAGAGCATAGATACCCATGTAGTAAGCAATGTCTATGTGTGCGCTGTTCTTGTAGGCCTCAACCCATACCGAGAGCCAGTACGAGCTGTAGAAGGACATGATGCCCGACACGATCAGGCTTGCGCCGCACGCAAAGGTGAAGGTCGGGTTGCCAAAAAATGTCATGTATTGAAAGACTTTTCGGCATGGTCATTAGAATTTCCCAGTGAAGATGAGCAGTCCGGGAGATCAAGGGGGAATAGTCTCTTACTTGTGAGTCGGCCAGTCTTTCCCGACGCCCTGGTCTCCTGTTCCACCATGTAGTTTGCCCCGTTCTTATCCTTGGTGGATCTATCGACAGCGTCATCCGTCGTTGTCTGCGGCTCTGCCGTCGTAGCCTGAGGCTGGAGCCCATTGCTCTGGGGTTCGTTCTCTACCATGTCCTGCGCAAGGGTGACTGGTCGGCGGACGACACCGATGTTCACCTCAGCACTGCTGACCCGGCCGCCGTCGAGCGTGATCGACAGGTCTCCCTGCTCGGGAATCCACGGCATCTGAGTCACCAGGACCGTTGTCCGACCGCTGAGCATGTCGCTGCAGAAGCACTTTCTCCACAGCGTGGCGGCCGTCTTGGCATCCAGAGCTGACAGGACATCGTCAAGCAGGATAAGGGGGGCCTTCGAATACAAGGCACGTGCCAACGCCACGCGGGCCTTCTGACCGCCGGAGAGGGAGGCACCGTTCTCGCCCACTATCGTCAAATCTCCGCGAGAGAGCTCATCCAGGTCGGTAGGTAGGCAGCATACGTCGATGACACGGGAATACCTGGCCTGGTCCATGGGGCTTCCGAACAAGATATTGGCCTGCACTGTGTCATTCTGCAGCCAGGCGGACTGGGAGGCGAAGGCGACATCGTCCGGTCTCGAGATGGTTCCACGCTCGAGGAACGTTTCTCCCAGGATAGACAGCAGCAAGGTTGTCTTGCCACTTCCACTGGGGCCGCTGACGACGTTGAGGCCGCCCTCGACAAAGTCGATAGAAACATCCTCGAGGCGGAAGGCAGCTTTCCTGTTTCGAGAAAACGAGGCATTCTGGATGCGCAGGGGTCCGACGGGATACTCGGTCTTGCGGACGGCGCTGTAGAAGTAACGATCTAGTCGGTCAAAGGCAACCATGGCGGCCGAGAAGTTTCGCACAGACTGGCTGGCCTGCATCATGTTCCTACGGATGTTCTTGGCCAGGAGGACGGTGGTGAAGGCCACTGATGCGTCCAGCCTCTTCTTGTTGACGCCCACGTGGAGACCGAACATGACGACGAGGGCCAGCAGCGGGAATATCTGCGACACCTGGTTGACAAGCACCTGGAGGACGGCAACGTCCCACAGCTTGTTCTGCTCGATGGAGCGGGAATTTAATATGCTTCGTATCACGGGCTCTTCCCAGGCAAAGTACTTGATGGCACGGATCGACGTCAGATACTCGGTCACAAGAGAAATCCTCGAATCCTGAGCTTTCCTCGCCTCCGTCTGGTGTCTGTAGATGAGCCTACTGATCCACATCGACAGCGGTACGCCGAGAACGAGAATGAGGAGGCCGACGAGGGAGGGCCACCCAAGCATCTGATACATGCCTACGGAAGAGACAACAGTTCCTGTGGTGACTCCGAAGAGCACCATGACGATATCGCGAGCGCGGTAGATGGAGTCGACATCGGCAGCCATGAGGGTAGAGAGCCGACCTGCCGACGTCGTCTTCTGCCTTGCTGGCCTGTCGCCGGAAGACGCTGCCCCGGTGTCTTTCCCATCCTGAAAGGGGTCGTTTTCCAGCTCCATGGACTCCATGGCTTTGTGGTAGAGTTCCTGTGTCATGGCAGCCCTGATGCGTACGATCAGGCGAGTCCCGTGGAAGACATACTGTTGAAACGTGACGGAACGGGAAACCGGCCCGAGGAAGACGAGAATGAGCCAAACCCAGGGTCGGTAAAGCGAGTCCTCGGGGTTTGCCAGATAACTGAGCAACCGAAACATGCTGAAGGGGGCAATGTTCTCAAAGGTATACGCCACGGTGATGAAGAGGGCCATGAGCAGGAGCTCATCACGCTGGAACCTCAAGACCGTTGTCAGAGTGTTCCTCGACGCGGCTCTAGCCCGCTGAAGCTTGCGGAGTAGATACGTGGGATCATCGTACCAAGGGATCTTGGGTATGTCCCTCATTTCGAGCGCCTTCTTCGTTCCCTTCCAGACGAAGGGTGTCAACCAACTGAAGGAACAGTAAGAACTGAACCAACTGCACGTTTCCTCCGGAGATGCAGCCTTCTTCTGGCCATCCTCATCATACTCTAAGGCGCCGTCATCCTCATCGCCTAGCTCCGCAAATTCTGCCGGCGACGGCGGCAACCACTCCCTCGGGGTCGATACGGCGACAGCCAAAGCCACAGATAGCGAGATGAATGCGCCGAGTATGCTGTGATCCTGAGCGCACCGCTCATCCACACCGACACACGGGAGGAACTGCGCCACAAGGAGAACTACCCACAAGGCGGTGAAGATGTAGTTGACCTGATGCAGCGCTGAGCGGTGCCAGCCGCCGGGGACGCGGGTAATGCGGACGAGCCCCAGCACAAAACCGTAGGCTGAGACGATGGCGTCGAGAGGGTGGCAGCGACCTCGGGCGTATGCTGATACAAGCAAGGCGACCGAAGCGACGCGAGATGCCTGGGACAGCACCTCATATCGCCACGGTACAGACCAAGCAGACGAGATTCTGTGGCCGCCGGGGCAGGCGTTGCTATTCTTTGTGCGCAGAGCGATAGAGAGCATCAGCCAGATGGTTGCGATGACGAGAATGACGGCCTGAGGCGTCCCCGACCCAGCAACCTCGGAAGCGTCATGAGTCCATCGTAGCGTCCGTGATGGTGAAGCAGCCTTATCACTAGTGGTGGGTGGAGTGTCAGTCTTGGTTGGTGGCGGATGATCGTCAGAGCGCCGTTACATGGCGTGATGTGATAGCAGTACCTGGTATTAGATTGCTGAAAATTTGCCTCCGCGGACAGATACCATTGGAAATCTTCCGATATCATGATGCGGCCGAGAGAGAGCTCAGGTGGGCTTGAGCGATGAGCATGTCGGGGGATGAGGGAGGTAGAAAAAGAAGGGAAGAGGAAGGAGACAACAGAGAGGAAAGAGAGAGAGCGAAAAGATGAATAAGTTGTGACCCAATGACAATCAACCCGAGCACGCGTAACACGGCAGACTGCAGCCGCAGCGGCGGTGACGACTGATGGTGGGGTTGCTATTACGATATCGGACTAGCAATCCGCCCCGACAGTACGAGCAGGTACTCATTCATACGCAGTACGGAGTAGAGGATGCACAATAATAGTCGCAGGGATGTCGAGGCAGTGATATGGATCGACGAGTGGAATCCTGCGGAGTACGGAGTATGGAGCACGGAGAAATCTAGTCCTGAGTTTCTGGGCGGGAAAGGTGTCCATCTGCACATGCTAACATGGGGGGGGGGGGGTCCCTTGCATCCTAGCCACATCCTATTCTTCTTCTTATCGGATGCATGGGATGGGGGGTTGCGGGCCGTGAGAGCAGAAGGTAAGTGATGATTCATCTCCCAGATCTCTGTCCGTGTGCCTGACGTCGCCCTCTCTAGGTCTATCCAGACGGATCAGGATCTCGGTGTATCAGAAATCATGTATTGATACATGTGCATCTAATAGCCGGCATGTTGCACACGCCCACGCACCACTCAGGTCTTGCTCCCGACCCCGTCTCGCGGATCATATCCTATACAGACCGCCGTCGCATAGTCGCCGTCGTGGCTGATGGACACAGCAGCACTCGTATCCTCCTCTGCACCTTCCTCTCCCCTGATCCTGGCAATGGGCGGACCGCTGCCTAGCCGCTGTCCTTGGTCGTCGCGACGGCGCTCGATGATGATGTCTTGAAACGTCAGCCGGCGATGTGAGTGTGCTTTGATGGCTGCCTCCTTGGCCGCGAATCTGGAGGTACCGGACAGGTGGTCAGCAGACGCGGAGATTCCCTTCACGATGGAAAGCTATCTGCCATGCTCACCTTCCAGCGACAAACACGGCGCTCTTCCAAAGCTCGTCGCCATCCTTGACGGACGGATTGCTGCCGTGGCATGGTGACGATCCGTCTCCGGAGTCCGTGCCGCTAGATGAGACTAGTCGGAGTCCGATGCCGGCCCGCTGCTCTTCGGGCGCGAGAACCCGTCGGGCGAAGCGTGCGCGTCGAGGTGAGCGCAGGATGCGGTGGATGCGGCTGATCTGGCAGATGTCGGTCCCGACGTTGAAGGGGAACGGAAATGGTCGTAGGGGTCTCATCTGAACAGACGATCCGTCGGTCTCCGAGCTACATTGGCCTACCGAGAATGTTATCGACGGGTTTGACGCCAGGACGGTTGAGGGAGATGGAACATCTCTCACATTGATCGCGTCGCCGTCGCCGGCCCAGTGCCATATCGCACACTACGAGAGTGTCCCACAGGGCGTCCCGCAGGGCGTCCGACAGGGCATCCCACAGGGCGTCCCGCAGGGCGTCCGACAGGGCATCCCACAGGGCCCGGCGGAAACGTTCTTATCGATATGCTGGCTGCCAAGGCAGCATCATTCCTGGGCGAATGGTTTAGTGGTATAATTTTCCCTTAGCACCTTGTCTCCTACGAGATGAACCGCGAATATGGGAAAGGTCCAGGGTTCGATTCCCTGTTCGTCCATTGACCGAGTCTTCTTTTTTCTCTCTTCCTTCTTTTTTTCTTTCCTTCCGTTCTTGGATTCTCACCACAAAAATCGCCAAGCAATGGACAGAGATTTATGTCAAGATTCCCCATCTCCAGCCTAATAAACAAAACGTGACCAATTTCTTTCCGTGTTTTGCAAACTACCATCCTGCAGCACATCATCATTGGAGCTTCGGGGGCTCGAATCTTGTGGGGGATAGAACAATGCAAGTCCACGCCCACACATATGTCACGGGCGTCTTCACACTCGATCCGACCTGAGCCTACCCAACTACCCTGCACGAGCACAGCTGTCGCGTCGAGAAGGGGAGGGATCCTCACCTGTTCAGCAGCGGCGCGAGGGAGACACAACACCAGCTACCGTTTCGCTACGCGCCAGCCACCACCGGCACCTCGGCCGGTTCATTTGTTCTGTGCAGCCTCGTCCCCGTCCTACGCAGTAGCAGGCGCAGAATCGTTGAGAAGGGGAGCACGCTCCGAGTCAGTGAAGACGACGCCCCTGTTCCACCTGATATCCCTACCCATCCAGGCGGGCACGGCGACGGTGAGGGTGGCCAGGAACAGCAGCGACATGATGATAAAGGCAAAGATCCACTGCAGGGCAATGACCTTGTGGGTGAACTGCGCGACGCCGAGGGCAGCCGTGAGGACGGTGAGCGAGAAGCCCATGGTGTAGTCCTTGTAGACGGTGATGTATCCCAGGCCGTGGAGGAGGAGGGTCCAGATGAAGATGTTGCCAAAGACGCGGGCGATGAAGCCGGTCGAATGTGGCACCATGATACCGCCGTTCCAGAAGAGGGCGACGTACGTCCACGCCAGCGGAGCGGAGACGACGGGCGTATGGATGAAGCGAGGGTAAGAGCTGTGGCGGAAGTACAGCGACGTCAGGTTGAACAGGTTGACGACGATAAAGACCTCGGCCCAGTAGAAGTGCGAGCGCACGAAGAGCATGACAAAGGCAAAATGGAGGAGATTGTTGACGATGAAGTGGCTGCCAACGCTGGCGGCGGCGTTCCGGAGCTCCTGCTTGGACGAGAAGAGATGGCCGATGTAGCCGGCCTGGAGGATGAAGAGGACGATCCTAGGATTCGAAAGTCAGGTCAGGTGTGTTGTCTCTCACGGCGGTACGGGACAGACCCGGGGGGGGGGGTTGTGTTTGTTTCGAACGTACCAGAAGATTGAGGAGATGGTCGAGTTCAGGCTGAAAGCACTGGGGTGGTGCTTGTTCTGGGCCCAGATGCGCCTGTTCTGGTTGTGGCCATCATGGGGGGCGCGGAGAGTATAGTAGACGGACACGACGACGGACAGGATCCAGGTGAGGAGCGTCAGGACCTTGTAGGTCGTGATGGAGACCTGGCCGTGCGACTCGCGCTTGGCGAAGGGGTTGTCTGTTTTGTGCGCGTGAGCTTCATCTCCCGAGATCCAGTATCCATCACAGGAGGAGGGAGGGTGTCGATTCCATACACTGAGCCAGCGAGGTCATGATGGCGAGGCTTTCTGCTTGCGTTTGTGTGAAGGATTATAAAAACGAGATGGTGTACTAGGCTGGAGGACGCGGAGAAGCCAAGAATCCCAACCGCGAAGAGGGGGAAGAGAAGGGAGAGGAGGGGAAAGAGCAAGAAGAGGGGGAAGCTGAGGGAAGCTTCCCTAGCAGCTGTATTAGTACTAATATACCAAGGCTATGGATGTACGTATATAACTTATGTGTGTGTCAGTGTGGTACGACGCTTACGGACGAGAGCCAATGCGTTGTCGCCTTGCCGCCTCCGCCTCCGCCTCCGCCCATAGTAGAATAGATGACGGCATTCTTTTTCCATGTGCTAAACTAGCATTGACAAAAGGAAGAAAAAAAATTGGAATTAATATTAAATAAAAATAAACATGACAAACAAAGTTGCCTCTTGCTACGTAAAACTCTGGCTGTGCTGGCTGCATCGAGCATGTTGTTTCGACCCTATCGACTTACAAAGTAATACGTCATGGACTTTTCATGCACGTGATATACTCTCCTGCTCCTCTGCGGCGCAGGACAAGGAAAGGGAAGGAAAACGAGTTCGAGAATGGTCTCGAGTTTATCCTCTGCCGTCTCAGCTTTTTTGTGCACACGACAAGTTTTTTTTATAGTTTTTTTTTTCTTTTTCTTTCTAACGTTGCAGCATATTCAGCTGCTCATGTATTGCTTGTTAATTACGGTCTACGGATGACAGCATGTCTAACTAAAACTATCTTGATACTACTGCTAGATCAGACGTACGACATACGAGTAACATTCTCAGTACATACGTTGGTGTATGGTGTATGGTGTATGGTGTATGCTTCTCCCTTTTGCTCAGCATATACTACGTCCTTGCCTGGCATGTGTATGCTTTGATGTTTAGCCATACCAGAGTTCTTGTTCCCCTCGGATTAGTATGTCTAGTCGTGAGACATTGGTCATGAGACAATACTCCATCGGCGGAACTATTGACGTTTTCGATGCCACCCGCGGTGATGCATCCGATCGGATACATTCTGGCTTACGGTTTCTAGACCCATGTGTCAATCGTTGACGGTACCGACGACAGGAGACGACGATGAGTACAAGGTCCGATACGTTCTCGATTCTCAGGCTTTCGTCATGCTCATCGGCGGCTTACACCGGAGGCATGGTACGCATCCTTACCGAAGCTGATACAGCAGCAACCACCTGGAAGGGACCGGAAGACAGATTCAACCGAGGTGCAGGCCAGACAGCCCTTCAATTTCCTTGCCCAACGTCATCGGGATCCGTCTGTCTGACGGTGCAGACCTGCGTCTACACCTTGATCGCTTCCAGGGCAGCTGGACCGAGCTCGGGCGAAGATGCACAAGCTCACAGCAGATTACTGCCAGGACCATCCGGCCTATGGTTCGATCCGACGAATTCAAAGGCTCGCTTCTTCTACACTCACCCTTCCCAAGGTCCATGGCAACCATTTTAGACAACCACTTCCAGGCAAAGTACATTACCAACTTCGTAGACATTCGTACCAAGATCCTCGACATCGTTGTCCACACGCAAAGCAACTGATAGCCAATAGTAGGAACTTTGACTTCTCATATCTCCCCTCTGCCCCTCAATCCAATCATCGGACTTTACTTTTTGTTTTGTTTTGTTTCATTCCAACAAGGCCCACCTCCCGAGGTATTCGTGTATCCCTGAGATCGACAGACCCCGAAGATTGGCCTTGAAAGTATCTCGTCTTCCTTTCACATATATTAAAAAGAGGAGCGCAGAAGGTAGTGAACTACTCACGTAGTCAATCTCAGCTACCTCAGCACAGAGGTAGGATAAGTGCATCTTCCACCAGGGACTTGAAGCGGTGAATACACCTCCGTTTTCCTCATGCCATCTTGAGTACCCATAACCAGGCGTCTCTGTATGGGCCTACTGAGGAAGCGGCCGTCATCATCGCCAAGACGGATGGATGGAATCATAGTACGGAATCGGTGAATAGTCAGCATCGACCGCTGTCTTGCCTCGATAGATTGATTCTACTCTCTTCCTCCCTGGACATTGACGACAGGTCGAATACATCCATTGGCATGCACAGGAACTCTTCCAGCGAGCCAAGCACTAGATTCGGACAGCAACTTATCGGGCTGCCTTTGAAATTTACAGGTATATATCATGGTTCGTCCTGCTAGTACCTATGTATATCACTTCTGTGATCCGGGACGTTCGCCAGAGGAACTCAAGATGAACTTCACGCGCCGTCTACCAAGCTTGTGCTGACACGCTCTGTGACACCGAGACGCGAGAGAAACGGTATATTACCGATGGCACGCCGCTTCCCTATCTGTTCTGTGATTGTTCTCAAAATGCAACGTCCTTTCACTGATGAGAAGAAGAAGAACTTGACAGTTTGTAAACTCTCCGGGTTCACAAATCTACTAATCGCCGGCAAGTGTTTGTCAACCCAAGGCCGGGCGATTTCTTAGTCACCCGAGCCTTCTGGAGAATAATATAAACCTTATTTCCAACCCACCTAGCATCCGCTGAGTATGGCTTGATGGTCTAGTGGTATGATTCGCGCTTCGGGTTCTCTGGAGTTCCAAGCTTGTGAAAGGCTTATGTGCGAGGTCCCGGGTTCAAACCCCGGTCAAGCCCTTGTTTCTCGTTCTTTTTTTTCTACTCCAACGCTTGCTTCCCAATCTCAATTGAATTCATACAGAACTGCCGTTATTGATTTTTTTTCTTTTCTTTTATTTTCTTCTTTTCTTTTTCGTATGCCTGCCTTTCGTCTTTCTCTGGATATTTATTATTTACCCTCTTCATAGGTTTGCTGTTGATACCGGTCATTGCATGGGCATCAATCAATACCTTTTTTCGTCGGTGTTGAGTCTAAACTAAATCTTTAGCGGAGATTGTGCCTGGATGTATTAAATTCGCCAAAACACCTCCGCTCTACAGATTACACTGTATGTAATACAAGTTCATTGGATATATCGTTGGTAGACAAGGATGTCAAAAGGTTATCTCATGTACCAGGTATTCGAGAGAAGAAGCGATATAATAGTTGCAGCCCTCCTGCTTCGATTCGCCGAGTCCCTGCGAAGGGCAGTTTAACCACCGGGACGATCGAAGTCATACCCAGATCCGTCGGGAACGTGACGGCCTCACTCACCCCTTGCTTCGAATATAACCGGTCAAGATTACCCGCAACATAAACAGATCTGGGGACTGAGTAAGCACAGCCAACTGGGTGGAAGGGAGTCTACAGGGATTGGAGACGCGCTAGAGAGGTGAGCATTAGGAAGTAATATTGATATACTGTCGGAACTTGAGGGAAAATTGCGGGGGACAGGGAGGAGGGGGGAGGGCATGCATAGTATTATTACTCGTATACTCACTCGTATGTAATACAGGGTCAGAGACATCGACACCCGACAGACGCTAAATTTACCCGTGGGGTGAGGGAAAGGTGACGATGGGTTAGTTTCTGGATAACTTATAAGCCGTTACCTGTCTGTGATGTACGGTTGGTACGAGAATGGAACAAGGTAATATGAAATATCAATGATGCTATTCACATCCACCGGCAGACTGGCAGAAGCATGGTTGCCTCGGTGTTCGAGCCGAAGCTATAGTGCAGCACACTGGGAAAAGGAAGGGACTGGCTGTTGAGATGAAAGGCATATATGGCCGTGCCATCGCCTCTTGTTTATCTTGACAATTCACCAGCCAATTACTTTCCAGCTCTCCCATGCCGGCAGCCTTTGGTGTATCCGACCACATCACCGACGCTTCTCTGCGTGCTCTACCATCTCGCTATTCTCAACGTCAACCACCTTTTCACTGGCTCCTTGGTGAGCCGCAATCTCCCTGTCGGCATCTTCGTAGATCTGTGGTCTGCTAAGCTGCGTGGCCTGCTTGTTCTTGAAAACAAAGATACCGGGGTTGTCGTAGAAGTAGCGGTCAATGTCCTCGAGGGATCGGTTGGCCGTTTCCGGGTAGAATAGGTAGGTGATGGGGACAAAGGACGCGCAAATGACGGCCCAGATGATCCAAAACTTGTAACCGAGGTTGGCGATTCCGGGAGGGGTGACCTGGGCGACCATGTAGTTCATGATCCAGTTGGAGGCCATGGCCAGGCTGGAGCCCTTGGAGCGGAAGGCCAACGCGTTGATTTCGGTGGGATAGAGCCAGGGGACTGGCTTCTCGTCAGCGTCTCCCGTTCCTTCCACCTCGTCACGATAGGGCGGATACACTCACCACCAAGGCAGCCCATAGCAAAGCAGGCAAAGAACAGGAAGAAGAATGACACAGCTACGATTCCCATCCTGTACTTATCGGCCAGGCCATGCTCGGAAAGACCGAGACTGATGGCGATGACGATCCAGCAGATAGCACAGCCGGTAGCCGACGTCATCATGACAACCCGACGGCCATAGCGTTCGATGACAAAGTAAGCCATGAAGGAGAAGAAGAGGTAGTCCATGGAGCCGGCGGCAGCCAAGATGCGTGCCAGGAACTCGTCTAATCCTAGCGCATTGATGAAGACGTATGTCATGTAGTACGACGTGACATTGATTCCCGAAATCTGGTTCATGGTCTGCATCCAGGCGCCAAGAATCATTCGACGGACGACACCGGCGGGACCGCGACCGGTGATGAGCTGCCACCATGTGTAGCTGACGGCGTATTCCTGCAGGTCGCCGTGTTAGCTGCATGTTCTAGGCCATGGAATGGGAGTAGAGGAAGCTTTGCCTTGTCAAGAACGTCCTTGATGACCGAGTATTGCGTACGGACCGAGGGAGATTCGGGAGTGGCACCGTTGCCCTCTAGCGCAGCGAGGACTTCGAGAGCCTCCTCGTGGCGCTCCTTACGGATAAGGAGACGAGGGGAATCAGGGAGGAAGGGGACCATGGTCATGATCACAAGGGAGAAAACTTGAAAAGGATACACGTCAGCACGAAGAGCATGCACGAAAGGGCTCATCAAACTTACACAACTGAAAGGCCAGAGGGAAACGCCAAGAGACACTTCCTGGGGCAAAGGAGAAACCCAAGGTCAACCAGTTGGAGAGTGCAAATCCGACGATACAGTTTGCCATCTGGATGATGATGAGCTTGCCTCGACTCCTCATCTTGGACGTCTCAGACTGCCAGACACCGGCGGTTGCCGTGTTCATACCGGTTCCAAGACCACCGATGATACGGCCGACGTACATCTCGGCTGGACCAAAGGAACAAGTCTGGATGATGGCACCGATCCCAACAACAGTGCTTCCAAGCATCAGAGTCATGGGGCGGCCGAGCTTGTCGCCGGAGTACAGGGTTGAGAGAGCACCGACGAAGCAGCCAAGGTTGTATACGGATGTCATGGTTCCCTGATCATCGGTACTGGGGTTGCCCATGGTTTCGAGGAAGTTTTTCTTGATCAGGACATTGCCAAAAACTCCCTAAGGGTCTGGGTATCAGTATCCGCGATGGGAGTTACACGGCAGCGAGAACTGGAAGATGTGGGAAGCAAGACTCACCTGATCGTAACCGTAAAAGATGATGGTAGTAGAGGCGGCGATGGATATCCACACTGTGAGGCTTTCGCCCGAACCGCCAAGGTACTTTCGTCCCATAGTGGCTCTGGACTCTTTGTCCGAGCGAGTGCGTTTCTATATCTCTCTCCTTATCGCTGAAGGTCGGAAGATGCTGGTGGAAAAGGGGGGGGGGAGAGGACCGAAGAGTTATTGGGCCACAAGAAAGGAGGGTGCCGTCAACACATGGGCGGACAGCCGTTGCATTATAAAGCCCCCTTGGCCGGGTGAGTGATCTTGCTGCCGTTGGTGTGGATTGTGCATGTTGACGAATAATACCCTCCATTGGGCAGTAGAGGAGATGATAGCTAACCCCAGTCGCCAACCCCATGGGGATTATGGGGTCTAGGTGTCGAGGCTAATAGTCATACTTGACATGGTATTGCCGTCGGTCGAGATGGAGGGGGTGGTAGGCGTCTCCACCTCGATCGGTTCCGACCGCATCTTGGCTGGATGCGGAATTAGTGCATTATTTCGAGTGGTATCTGCTTGTACGTCGTACTCAGGACGACGGACCGGGGTGAAGGCGTTCGGGGGGAGGGGGCTGGCGATGGCCGTGTCAAGCCAGGGAGTGGCAAGCAGACTGCCGGGGTGGTGGGAGTCCCTGGCCTGGTCGAGGGGCATCAGCACCGTTCGGAACCGCTCGTACTGAAAGAAGGGATTGTCATTGACCAGGGTGAAAGGACCGTTTTGCGTGCAATGATAATCCTCCTCTAACGATCGGGACCGCTTACCGTGGCGGTTGCGGGTACGATGGAGAAGAGTGAAGTTGGCACTACGAGGGTGATACTGCTGGTAGTGATGCACTTTTTAGCTGCAAAGCCAAACGACCAGAGCTCCCATCTTTCGGTGCATCATGAGGGGGGCAGGTGCGGCTGGGTCGCGCCTTCCACGATCAATGGCATTACTACTCCGTATCTACAGATTTGTACACCGTACAGCTTACACATCTTCGTCCCAAATTGGGAATCCCGAAGGCCTCTCTGCCCCCCCCCCCCCCGCCATCTTCCGCGCTCACGCCTGCATCTGCACCTCTCTCCGACTATGGCCTAGGAATGACGAGTCTCCAGATGTATGTGATTTCGCCGGTACTTGAACAAGGCAACCGACTACTGACTACTGACAGCAATGACGATAGATTCAGTGTGCAATCTAGACATCCCCTTTCCCGAGACCATCCATGACTGGAGGATGGAAATGTGGGGGCACGCTGCGGGGCGTGCACGCTGCGGGGCCCGTCGTCGCGCCGCGGGGTTCATGATCGATTTGCCTAGGGATTTCTGGGGTTGACGGCAATATTAATATGAGGCGTGCGGCGGCATACCTACCATACGAGTAGAGTGAGTGGGGGGTTATCCGACGGGGTCTGCGGACAAGTCAGAAGAGCAGAGCAACGGGCTGCCAGTAAAGTCGTCGACATCTCGCATCTGAGCCCCGGCTCAAGCCACGGTGGAGTCCTCCGCATCATCGCACTCGTCGTCTGCGGGGTCATGTGGACAGAGAACAGGCTTGGGGGATAATGGCGGCGTGGTATTCCCCCGCGCACGCGCACATTGTTGGTATCATTACGCGACTGGCCATTGTGGTGTTCACACTGACCGCCGAGCCTCATCCTGCTGTCTGCATCTCCGCCAACAGACGATACCTTGCGTGATGCCCGCTCATACCTACAGGTCTCGGGGAACACCGTGATAGCACGCGGTGACCAAAGCATCCAGGCTCAGAACTATTCCCACAGGCGCTGTCCCTTTCTAAAGGACCGAGGGCAGAGCGGGGAGGTCTTACGGAGAAGATGCTTTACGCTGCTGACAGCCACTACCAGCTCAACCGTAGGAATGGTGCGGTGCACCAACAACCTAATTGCGCGGCTCAATCCCGCCCCTAAGTAGATGCGTCTATTTCCGGGAAGTGCCTTTTTTTTTAATTTCTTTTAATTTAATACGGAACCTACATATTGCACTCGTCATTATTTTTTTTTTCATCCCCATCATCGCACTAGTGATATCTCATGTGGCTGTCATGCTGTCCCTTCGTTCGAGGACTGGCCTGCGTCACGACGTCACCAGGTGGGTCGCGACAGCTCGGCACAAACTTGTACTTGAGCGCCCGCATTTTCTGGCCCATCTTGATGCCATCAATGCTCATCCTGGTGAATGTCGACGGCCATGATGGTCTGGTTGGCTGGTCTCGCGGAAGCGGAGGAAGACCTCTGCGGCGTCCTGTCGCGGCGTATCCCCGATGGGACAGCCGCCACGCAGACCGCGGTAGACATGGGAGGGGATGTCAGGAGCTGACAAGAAGGGTTTTACCTGACATTACATCCCATATCAATATATGCAAGATGTGGTTGATGAGATACCGGTGATGACCATGTTGGAAGGGGAGGGCTGGTGGCTAAACCAGACCCAGAAGAACCGATATCAGAGATAGCACGAGTTTCAGTCCAGAGAATGAAGACCAAGGCTATCAGTGGCGATTGTGTGCGGTGCGAGTCTTGAATATCTGACAGCAGGTAAAGAAGAATTATCGATGCCAGAATGAATTTGATTATCGGGGCCACGTTCGGTAACGACATGGGGATTGTGCTTGCGGTGGTAGAAGATGATGATGGTATATTATGAGTCGTGGCCTCCCCAAATATTAGCATATCTCCTTTTATTTCTTTTTTTTTTAAAAAAAAAAAAGAAGAGAAAAAGAAAGGAAAGAGCATCTTAGAAGAAACGGCACCACTGACACTGTGCAGCAGCAATACCCAGAAGCGTCCATGAGCCGATGTTACAGTGGTGTAACAGCGCAGACAGTTTACAGTATTATTATTATTACGAGTACATGTATCTGCACTAAACGACGCGGCTCGTTTCGTGGCGTAATATTCCATCCATTCAGACACTGTGCGGACCGCTGTCACCTTAAAAAGTCCTCCATTTGTCAATACTGTACCTAAACTGTACCAAGAGCTCCAAGTTCAACGAGTTACCGTGGAACTCATACGAGTGAGAGCTACGGTGTTACGGCTCTATTCAATCACGACATATATATAGAGGCACAGGTTTTCCGTCACGACGATGGTAATATGGGCTGAGCGGGCCGCCTGTTTGAAGTTGCTATACGTTTTGAGTGCGTCGCAGTGGTCATTACTAGGCCCATATTTCTTCTGCTTGACGCGAATGGGAAGACCAAATACTGAACTCGCACTGTCGTCCACATTGCTGGCTCTCATTTATTTTTCTAAGAAGAATAATAATAATAATCATTTTTCTTTAAAAAAAGTCAAGGAGTCTGATCAGCTCAGCGTTTGGAAGCTTTGTTGGGGTCGAGCTGTAGTAATACATCAAGAGCGAACAACGTACCAAAGGATGCAGCAGGCATTGTCGAGTGATAGATACTATGATCTTCGGTGATGATCCCCGTCGTTAGGGTGGAAGATGAACAGGGAATCCTACCTGTTCTGGGAAAAGCTGATATGACACGGACGCAGAGATGCTTTGTTTTACGTTGCATGTCAATCTTATTTCCAGATTCCTTTCCGGTAATTCATCGTCACGCACACTATATATAAGATGAAAGGAGAGCTGACGCCGCCGGTATTGCGCACGTCATTGGAAACATTTCAAGACGTCGTCCCCCCGCACGATCCAACCGTTGACACCATCCTGGACCCAGAGGACAGGACTGGGAAGTGTCTATCTCTCCCACCACTCGCCGCTAATCCACCTGTTTAGGAGGTCGAGCGAGCCCTCGGGCTGATCAGCAGGGACCATGTGACCGGCCTGGAAGATCTGGGCAAAGGCGAAGTTGTCGGCCGTGGTCAGGTTGCCGTATCTGTCGCCGCCGATGGAGAGGGGCTCTACGGGGGCGGCGTTGTAGGCCTCCTTGCCGGGCCAGTCGAGGGCCTTCGTCCAGGCTCGGTTGCCGAGCCAGTTGCAGATGAAGTCGGCGTCGCCGGCGTAGATGAGGACGGGGATCTTGGCCAGGATGTCCGGGACGTGGCGCTGGATCGGCTTCATCCAGTCGCCCGAGCTGGAGAAGAGGCTGTAGACGGTGTCGTCGCACTGCTCGTAGGAGTCCACCTCGACGCCCAGGGCGTCCTTGACGCGGTCGGTGTTGAGCCACTCTGTGGCGCCCGAGGTGGCGTCGGGCTCGTTGCGGACGTCGTAAACGTCGTTGCCGGACGACTGGTAGGGGCTGAAGAAGGCGTTGTTGCAGTAGCTGTTCGCGGCGATGCAGGCCTGGGTGTCGTCGGTGTCGTCGTAGCACTTCTTGATCCTGGCCTGGCACGACGGGAGGGCCGACCTCATGGACGAGCAGGTTCTCGCGTCCAGGACGGCGTCGTAGCCGCCCTCGCCGCACGCCATGGGCTCGTAGTAGGCGTACTGGATGTACGGGTCCGTCAGGCCGTTGCCGACCAGGATGCTCCTGAGGTTGATGCTCGTCCCCGGCTGCGAGATGACGGTGTAGCCCGTCTCGGGCACGTAGTGGCCCGCGTACGACTCTCCGGCGATGTGGAAGTCCTGCTCAGCGTACTGCGGGAACTCGTGGAAGAAGAGCTCGAGCAGGGCGTACAGGTCGTAGGCCGCCGCCAGCGACGACCCCGTGTCGTTGCTCTTGGAGTACGAGAAGCCCACGTTGACCGGCTGGTCCACGAAGATGACGGACGCGTTGCTGTTCCACGAAAAAGGGTTGGCCACCACCTCCCCGTCCTCGCTGATCCTGGCCGGGCCCAGCTCCTGGAACAGGCCGACCAGAGAGGAGCAGCCCGGGCCGCCGTTGAGCCAGAGGACAACCGGGTCGGTCTCGGGGTCGTTGCGAGACTCGAAGAACCCTGCAGGAGACAGATGGGGGACCCTGTCAGTCATGTTCCGCATGATGCGGTACAGTAAGATCACCGCTTTCGGGGACGGGGAGCAGACTGACAGTAGAACAGGTGCTTGTCCTGCTCGTCATTGTCGAGGTATCCGCTGTACTGCTTGACGGTGTCGACGCCGAGCTCGGAAGGGTCGACGGGCTTGGCACGCATGTTGAAGTTGGATAGGGGATGGACCTCCTGATCGTCGGCCGACAAGACGGACGACCCTGAGCCGGCCCTGATCTTCTCGGCCACGTCTGAACCCTTGACGACGTGCTCCCAGAAGGAGTCGGGACGGGGTCTGACGTTCCGGGGGGTGATGGACCCGTCTGCCGGCCCGTAGGAGAACTGGCGGGCGGCGGCAGCTGAGGCGGCGCCTAAGGCCAAGATGACGATAGGCAAGCGCATGGCTGGATGTGCCTCCCTTGTTTCTTCTTCTTCTTCTCCTTGTCCTTCTTCCTCGTCTTCAATCTTTCTGTGGTAAGCAGAGAGAGGGGGATTGAATGTGTAGAAGGGGAGGGGGGACGGTCAGTACTTCCAAGACATGCTTATCAGAAGGGGGAAGAAGCTGAACACACAGCCCTTTTATAAAGAAGGAAAAGGTGAGCGGGGTGGGGGGAGGGCGGATGGTGGCATTGTCTGGGAAACAAGAGAGAGAGAGAGGGAGGCTGAAGGCGGCGATCTCTCGTAGGCCTTCCTGAATAGGAAATGGGACATCTCAATCAGTGAGGGGGGTTGGACTTATTACTCGTGCACTTTGCAGAGTAGCAACACTCTTTCTATGATACTCTATAACACGCTTCTACCCCTTATGCTGTGCTGTTGCCCCCCTTCCCTTCCCCCCGCTTGTTGGCGGTCGACGTGCTTTATCTCGTCGGTTGTGCCTCGATCCCTGCAGGTTACCCAGTTGCGGATGACATTTTGGCGAGTTGGAGCAGAACGATGCAAAGTCAATCATTCAATCATTCATCCCCCCCCCCCCACATTCTGATGAAACCCCACAGCATTGATGATATATTGTTGAGAAAAAATAATCATTGTTTCCATCGAATCAGAACGGCTTGGACACTTCGGCAGAACCACCTCGGCACTTTTGAGGCGGGAAGCTAAAAAAAAAACTGCAGCCGACGGGCTTCGAAGAATACGACGTATAGAGTAGGTGGGAAGGAAGATCCAGGGGTGTTCAGTCCAAAGTGCTTCTTCCCCTTCTTCCCTTCTACTGATAGCTCCCGATATTAGTACGGGTAATAATAACTACATACACTGCTATTGTACTTATAATATACATGTATCTCGATACTACGTACTGATAGACTGGCGGCGAGTCACCAGTGGTATCATCCATTCTTCTCCACTTGAATACTACTCTCTGCTGACGAAAGACGGTATCAAAGTGCCTCTCCTCTTCTTTCTTTGCTTTTTTCCCCTCTCCTTTCCTTTTGGATAAATAGTGATGGCTTATCGTTTCTTGTATACATCATGTAGAGAGAGGGAGGAGAGGGAGGGAGGGAGGGATTGTGATGATGAATGATCCTCATTACTGAGTCATGGTTAACCGACCATATCATCGCAGCGGCAACTCTCGTCACTGCCAATTCTCACACCATGATACCGTACAGCTCCAACAATTACACAACTGCCTATAATGGCAAGTCAAAGCATCCAAGAGCAGACCGAACCTTTTGTTCTCCGTTCGGGACCAGGACAGAAATAAAGGATCTTTTGCTTTTCCATTATAGAAAAAAAAAAAAAAAAGCGCTTTGTATCACCGATATTGATGTCTCTTCTTCCTTCTTTCGTCCCGCGGTGGAGCCCCTACTTCTAGTGGCGTTATAAGCATCCATGCCTACCTACCTACTCGTACACGATACTCGTACACGATACTCGTACACGATACTCGTACACGATACTCGTATACGTACCTCGTAGTAGTAGTATTGAATTATATATATAGATGGTAGTATTGATTGATGACCAGCATTACCTGCCATGCTGGTCAGATGTGGACTGACAGACACAATGACGCCATTGCCGCCATCCTGTTCGTCTCCACGACCCATGTATGGACAATGGCCCGTGATCCTTGATACGAGTCCCGGACGGTTGACAGTCTGCTTCTCATCAGGATAGCCCTCGCCATCCCAACGAACAATCACGTCCAACGAATGGCATCGAACGAGCCGCTTGTCAGGCAGTCTGTCTTTTGCGGAAGATTCTCAATATGGAACTGAAAGAGTGAAACGACTGGAGAGGAGGAACCGTCACAGCTCGGGCAGGCGATTGAAAGATAGGTACGCGTGGTTGGATGCATTCCCGCATTCCCGTTCCACTGATCGGCAAAAGGTACGGCGAGAAGGAATATTCCCAGTCAAGCGACCGAGAAAAGAAAGAAGAAGAAGAAAAACAAGATGCACCCATGACATAAGAAACGACCCAGCTTCATATTGAAAAAGGCAAGTGGAGAGAGAGAGAAGAGAAGATGCATTGTAATGACATGATCTGGTCCGTGAAAAGCTTGGATAGAAATAGTAGATAATAAAAAGAGAACCAATGCGCCCTCATAATGCAGACCCAAATCCGATAAGAACCCGTAAAGCCATAAATCATCGCTCGTATGCCTCGTCCAGAGAGGACGGTCCCGATATACGCATCAAAAAAAGAAGAGAAAAGAAATGAGAGATGAAAAATGTAGAAAAGACAAAAACATACACGAAAGTAGACGTGGCGGGAGGGTCAGCAGCAGGCGCTGCGCTTCTTGCCCTCGTAGTCGGGTTGCTGATGCTGCTGACCGTGGCCGTCATTCGTCGAGCCGGCCCGATCGACAGTCACGGTGGGTGAGAATGACTGGGGGAAAAGCCAGCTGCGCCTGTCGCGGCCGACGCGGAAGCTGCCCCTCGGATAGGCCGCTCCGGCACCGAAGTAGTCGCCGTCCAGGGCGGAAGGGTCGGGGCCGGCGCCGAAGCCCGGCGTGGGCTGGGGTAGGGACGTGGCGAGCAGCAGGGCCTGCTGCATCTTCCGGTTCTGCTCGACGAGCTTTCGCGTGACGACGCGGAAGACCTCCTCGACGCCCTCGCCGCTCTCGGCGCTGATCTCGTGGCAGGCGTCCCAGCCTACCTCCTGGCCCCAGAAGCCCGAGCTGCGCTTAGAGCTGGGACTGTGCGGGTCAGCGGAGCTGGGGTACGCACCACCCCCTCCCACCCCTCCACCCACAAAAGTATTGTTGTTGTTGTTGTTATGGCTGCTATTGTTCCCCGGTGACATTGACGGTAGGGAGGAGCCGCCGCCCTGGAAGGGGGAGGAGAGGAACCCGGACGCCGTGGGCGGCGGGGTACCTCCCTGTCCCGGGGCGAGGTTCTCGGCCACGTAGGCTATGCAGCGTTCGAAGGGGACCTGGCGGGCCGAAGGGTCGCGGGCGACGATGTCGGCTTTTGTCCCCACGACGTGAAGGATGACGTCACCCGGCAGGTTGCGCCGCAGCTCGGTCAGCCACACGCCCATCTCGGCGAAGGACTGTGCGTCGGTGATGCTATAGCATAGGATGCAGGCGTTTGCGCCGCGGTAGTACAGGCGGGATATTGAGCGGAATCGTTCTTGACCGGCTTGTTTTTGTTTTCCATGGTCAGAGCATGTCGGTACATGGGTGGGTGGAGTCGAAGAGGGAGGGGGGGTAACAATGGGCTGAAGAGGAAAAACGAGGGAAAGGAAACAAGAAAAAGAAAAAAAAGGAAGACTACCTGTATCCCATATCTGCAGCCGCACCGTCGTGTCCGTGTCGGCGTCTACGATGCGTTTTGTGAGGAAACTGGCGCCGACGGTGGAGGTGATTTGCGAGGGGTCCCAGCTTCCCTTGCAGTATCGCATTACCAGGGACGTCTTTCCGACACCCTGAGCGCCTAGCACGACGATTTTTGCCTCGAGCGAGGACATCTCTCCGTTGTGGAGGGAGCGTAGCACTGGGAAGAGATAGAGATGAGTGAAAGAAAAGGGGGGGGGGGGGGGGAGGGGGGGAAACTTGACTGTGCGTATCACCCCCAGGCCCAGGATCCTCCAAGATGCGGAGAAGGAAAGGATGCAGGACTCGTGCATGAACTGTATCGTAGATAAAGCCAAGATTCACCACTACTCGGTGCTACGGCATAGGATACCGCTACTACGGTGTATTGCTGCCGCTACGGTGGTGAGTGGTTGATCTGTTATCAGTCGCCGGAAGAGGGAGGGTCATGGAGTATTAGTGGGAGACGGTGGGAGGCTAATGTGATACTAGCAGTGGAAGTCCATGAGAACACTCACTGCTAACGGTGCCACGATACTCTCCGTACTACCAGGTGACATAGTGATATGAACAGTGATGATATTGTGAAGTAGTAACAAAGTACTCCAGGCAGATGTAATGATGCCCTGGCTGCTCCTGACTTGCCTCTGCATGCTGGCACGCTTTGCTTGCCTCTCTCTGTCATGGATCGGCACTCTCGACACCAAGCTGTCAACTCAGATGATGGGAGATGATTGGATTGGGGAAGGGTCACACGAGTGTCTGTCTTGGAAGTAGAGACGTCATTCTGGCCAGGATTGGATAGCCGAGTTTGCCAAGTTTGGTTTCGGGAGCGGTGTGTTGCTATGCTCACTCAAGCCACTCCCGCGTACGTGTAATAAATCGTAATGGGATAGTACTGGTAAACTACTGATATTAGTAATAATATTAGGATTACTAGGCCACTTGGCACATAATAATACCACGAGCGTGCCATGAGTCAAAATCAATCAATCAAGTCTATCTGCATTGTTCTCATTGTCATTTTCTCTCTCTCTCTCTCTCTCTACTACACCGTCTTGACATGTGCATTCATCGTATGAGTATCATTACCTGCGCTATTGTTATTCCTACGAGGCACTGGTACTGATACTTACCATCTATGTGCCGTGCCTCATCTCCCCACACGTGACCCGAATCCATTGGCCACCAATCCTTCCCGCCGCTGACCTTCTTACCCAAGCGCGCGACAAGCCAAACAGCAGCAAACATGGTCTCTTCTTCCTGTCGCCACATCATGGCCGCACGCCGACCAAGGATACATGAGAAGAGTCTTGGATTATGCACGGAAGACCCCCCCCCCCCCTCAATAACTGACAGGGATGCATGTCTTCCCTCTCCCTCGCTCCCCTATCAAGTAATACCCCTCGAAACCCCACTGCTGATGCTGCAAAAGCGAGGTGGCGCCTCTAAGACCTGTCGTTGTATGCCCATCATCTCACAGGGCGCTGCCGTGTGTCGCCCAGCCTCCAACCAACATGTTTGCCTTGTCCGTGTTTCGCCTCACGACCTCTTCCTGCTATTTATATTAGCCCTTGCTTGGATCCATGTTTACGTGAATAATGACTTAAATATAGACTGACTACCACGTCTCCCTCTCTCTCTCTCTCTCTCTCTCTCTGTGTGTGTGTGTGTGCGTTGTGTGTGTGTTCCGTGTGTCCTCGATGCTTCTCCCCTTTCTCCCGTTCTCGCTTCATATTATAACAATACGTCCATCGCCTGGAGCGAGTATAAGCAGTGCATCTTTCTTTCTCTATCAGACGCTCTGATTTTACTCTCTCTTTCTCACCAAACCACGCCGTGCACCGTTACACTCGGTGTTTTCCCGCCCTCGCAATCATCTCGCCATTGTATAACATTGCAGAAAGAAGAGAAGATGACCAGACTAGTCGCCTTTATACCGCTGGTCTTGTCCATCGTCGGGCTGGTTCTATCGTCGCTATGTCTGTTTGCCGGTAACCGAAAGGGCTTCATGGAGGAATATGCCATTGCGAGGGTACGCACCGTCCACCCTCCCATTCTCTCACACGCACGGCATGCATCTGACATGGCAATAGGTCAACATAACCGGGTTGGGACACGATCTGATCGACACCAGTCAAGACAGCGGCGGTGACGGTGACGGTGGCATCCTGAGCGGCTTCGTCGACGGCGCGGGCGACGCCATCAACGATCTCATCGGCAAGGCGTCCGATGACGTCGTCGAAGCACTGGGGATCAGCGACTGGTACTCCCTGCACATCATGGATGCATGCGAGGGGTACTTCAAGCCCAATGCCACGGTCGACAGTCCTTCCCTCAACATTACCAGCTGCACCAACTCTGCACCCGACAGTAAGCTTTCCCTCCAACGCTAAAGAAGAAGAAGAAGAAGAAGAAGAAGAGAGAGAGAGAGAGAGAGAGAGAGAGAGAGGGTGTGTGTGTGTGTGTGTGCTCGGAAGGATAACACGCACTTGTCCAGACCGCCTCAATCTCACAGCCTTGATTGAGCGCAAACTCGACTCCGCCCCCGTGGACGTCAACCTGAGCGACCTGGGCTGGTCCTCGAGCGTGCAGGAGCAGCTCGACAAGGTCAACGACGCGCTCTTCGCCCTGTTCGTCATGTACGCCATGGTCATGGGGTTCAGCGGCCTGTCCATGCTGGCCGGCGCCCTGGGTGTCGCGGTCCCCAGCACCCACGGCAACAGGCTCGTGGTGGTGGCGAACCTGGGCCTCGCATCGCTCGACACCCTCGTCATCATGATTGCCAGCATCATCGTAACCGTTGCCGTGACGAAGGGCGTCGACGAGATAAACGACAAGGCGGGCGACATAGGCATCTCCGTCGCCGCGGGGACAAAGTTTCTCATACTCACGTGGGTTACCGCCGTCCTGACGCTGGCCGTCACCCTGTTCTGGGCAGCGCGGCTGGTCGTCAACAAGCGGAGGGCTGCCGCCGCCGCTGCGGAGGAGTCCAAGATGTCGTATTAGTTCTAGAGACACTTTGATTTATGGGGGTGCGGGCTGTGATGAAGAGAGAAGAAGAGGGAAGAATATACCAGTGATGAGCGACGGTTGGATATATCATGGGAGTTTTCCCCCTTTGCTTCTTCTGTTGTCTAGATACCATACCACCGCGGGTAGGTCAGAGGTGATGATGCAGTTCCCCGCATGAATCATAATGGTTAATCGATCAGAATGTATAATACTGTAAGCTCAACTCTTCCGCTGTTTCCCTGCCCAGCGTACATGATATATCTGCTCTCATATACAGCAGTGCGCAGTACGCAGCACGTAAATGTAGTCATGAGCAGCGTTATCGCTCATGTTATGCTGAAGCTGCCAATGCCCCTCAGCTACGTCATTAGCGACTTCTCGCACTGATACGCACTAAATACGCACCCCCCTGCTCCTGCTCCATTGCTCCTGCTCCATTGCTCCTGCTCACATGAGCGCCTCTTACAGATGAGGGGCTGGTGATCTGCCAGGCCGTCTTTTTTTCTTTTCCTCCTCCTCTATAGCATCCCCTCTCTTTTGTCGTCTGTACTTTGTCCTGTCCTTCCCCCGCCAAGGGTAAGACCCTGTTTTCAGCTCTCTTGTGATTGACAGAAAGACAGGATGGCTGAACGACTACGCCAAGCTCAGCCGCGCGATGAAGAGAGCACGGCAAGCGAGACGGACACGCTGCTTGAACGCAGCCAGCGCAAGGTTCACCGTCTCTGGAGCGGCTTTCTCGATTTTGCCTTTCAAGGGAATATTCTACAGATAGCTTTTGGCTTGATGTACGTTTTGTCCCCGTCCATTTCTATCCCCAAAGACATTTTTGATACGGTGCTATGCAGGTGATATTATACGATGCTAAAAACAAGACCTGTAAAAACATAAGTCTCGCCTCCATCTTCACCGACCTGGTCAAGTCGTTTGTCGGCGACATTCTCATGCCGCCCATCTCAGTCATCTTGCCTCTCAGGCACAACATTGAGGAGAAATTCGCCATCCTACGCAAGGGGGACAGTTACAACGGCACGGCTGGGTATAATACGCTGAGGCAGGCGCAGGATGATGGCGCCGTCGTCATGGCATACGGGTGAGATGACTGCCATCCGCACTCATTCATGCCGATTCCAGCGCATGCAAGAAGAAAGTGAATGCGACGTGCTGACCTTTTTCCTCCTCCTTATCTCCCCAACGTTGCCGGACAACATAGGTCCTTCATCTACCAAGTCGTTTCATTCATCATGGTCGGCGTAGCCCTCTACTCCCTCGCCCTGCTGTACACGCTGTTCTCGGCCGACCCCATCATCAAGCACATGAAGAAGTGCAAGTACTGCAAGCAGCGAATCAATGAAAAGGTACGCTGCGATTTAGAGGGTCATAGTAGTTGCTGTAAATCGCTGACGCAATATCTAGTCTCTTCGGTGCATCAATTGCACTAGCTGGCTCGACGGCCGAGAAGAGTATCCCCGTTACACGTAATGGGTCCACGACACATGGCGAGGATTCGACAGCAATGGTTTTTGTTTTGTGGGTGTTTTTTTCTGGGGGTGTAATGTTGGAACCATATCCAAGGTTCTCTTTCTTTTATTTGGGTCTTCTACGAATACACCTTGTTTCGCTTTCTCTCTCCATTTGCATGCGATACCCCACTGAAAGGGATGGGGCTGTGTACGGGCAAGCGTTAAAGGAGCGATGGCGCATAAGATTGAGCTTTTGGAGCAGAAGAAAATACAAAGGGGAAGGGCAGCTGTCCCCTTGCCCAGCCCCCCAACCTCTGGCGAAGTATATGTAGGTGGGTCTACAGCAGAGCCATGGCGGCAACAAAGGCAGTCACACCGGCCAGGCCAAAGTTGAGAGACGGAGCGCCGGCAGCACTGTCGGCGCTGTCGCTCGCGGTGACGCTGGGTGAGCTGTCGGAAGTCGATGACGAAGCAGACCAGCTTCCCGTAGCCGCCGACGATGTGACAGTCTCGATGGCACTTTCCTTATCGGCGGCATTGGTGGACTGGGCCGTCTTGTCAGCTGCGGTGGCGGCGGCGGCGGCGGTGGTGGTGGTGATGGCGTGGTGCTCGGCAGAGGTGGTCTTGGCTGGGGGGGGCTCGGTCGAAGATCCCGGGGCGGCATCATCGACGGCAGTGGTCTCCCTGGGCTTGTCCGAGTCCGAATCGGCGGCGGCGGTGGAGGTGGCGCTCACACTGGCAGCGCGAAGCTTGTGGATGCCTGCGGTGACGGCGATGGGCGAGATGACGGGTGAGATGTTGTCCGTCGAGCTGACGGTTGAGCGGGTGGTATGGCCGGCCGGGTAGGTGCCGTCCATGCTGATGGTGCAGGTCATTCTTGGACGGTCGACCTGGCAGTCGTAGTCGTATGTGCTTGGGCAATGTCAGTCTCACGAGATACACTCACTCTCCTCCATGTTGGTGATGTACAAGGTAAGATGTGATGTATTATATGATAGGGTGGTTTTCAAGAAGGCAGAAAAATGAAGAGATTATGATGATAAAAATTAAAAGATAAATATTGTTAAATAAATAAAGGAAGGACAGAAGAATGAAGGGGAAAAAAAGAAGAGAGAGAAGAAAACCGCTTACAATGTCTGCGTTTTATCCCTGTACAGGCTGTGGAGGGACCACACATCACCACCCTGAACGATGGTAGCCGGCTGAGGACAATCGGCGGGATGTTTGCACTGAACAGCGTACGTGGTCAACTTGCCATTGACGTCAATGACGGAGGCAGCCACGCTGTCGGCATCCCATTCGGGAACGATCATGTCGACGTGAGTTGTGGGGGAGGCGGCGGCGGCGGCGGCGGCGGCGGCGGCACCGGCAACGTAGAGGGCCAACAGGCCGCCTCGGAAACGAATGGAAGCCATGTTGGCGAGCGAGTTAAGCAGAGTAACGAACGAATGAATGACACTGAGTCGAAAAGAAGGCAGAAGTTTCGAGAGAGGCAAAAGGAAAGAAAAAAAGAAAGAGGGGGGGGGGGGGGGGGGAAAGAAGAAGAAACAACAAAAAGAGGGCAATGAGTCAGGCTACATTATAAGAGAGAGAGGAGAGGAAAGAGAGAGAGCAATGGCATTGTGATAATATTATAGCAAACCTGACCTACCTGACCTTTCCCTCGCCAATATTGCAATCTTACTCGTCAAGTATTATCTCCCCTCCCAATCAAGGGGCTGCTATGGTATCATCATGGCATGGGCTGTCCGGGGGGAGAAAGCGAGGATGGGATTGGGTACACGGGAACGGCAACGGCCGAGAAGGGGGGGGGGGGTTAGGAAGGGTCCCCCAGGCAAGGATAAACATAAGGCCAGACGGAGCACGCATGGACCATGGTCGGTTTAAAGATGATACACCGAACGCACAGTCCAACTGCCGGATGCCACTTACTTAACAGACTACGGTATTACCTCTCGAGTCTCATGATCATACTTCCTACGGTTCATGCTGGGACGACAGGTCCCGAGACGACGTATTGATGCATTCAAGGCACGACTGCCGATGTATGGAAAGGCCAAGGCCTTTTCCATCCTGACGGGTGTGGGTCAAGACTCAACAGACAGGATGCGATGAAAGATGTCGAGTATTATTGATTGTCAAGGCCGTCGACGAGAGTGTCTACATACATGTATATACATGCATACATACATACATGCATACCTATTGTATATATATATATATATATGTATATATGTCACATGTTTCGGGGCAGCAAGATGGCGCACTCTTACGTTCAGACAAAGTCTACTCCGCGCAGAGGGAGGGAGAGAGAGAGAGACCAAGGAGTAAAAAGACAAAAGACTAGGGTGGGATGGGGGGGGGGGGGGGGGGGGGGCCCACCGTGAAGGGGAGGATGGGGAGGTCGGGTCCAGCAGGTACGATTTTATCATGAATCACGATTTAACCACGGTCGGTGT